ATGAGGGCCAGTGACACTGCCCTCCACAGCTAAGATGCTGAACAACAGCTCAACCTGGAGCTGGGATGCCATGAGTCGCCGGTGATGGCGTAGGCTGCAGCCACTGCTGCAGTGTGTTGCCATGGGCTACCGTGTGTAGCCAGCAGCCGCACTGAGCGGTCGTCCAGAAGCCAGCAACTGATGTGCCTCGCCCGGGAAGAGCGCAATGATGGTGCCAACTTGGGCCAGTGAAGCAACGTCCTCCACAACTAGACTGAAGAACAAAAGGACAGCCACTTGTCTGTTCCCCTTCCCCCAATTCCCCAATTAAAAAAAAAAATCTTAAAAAAAAAAAAGAAAATGAATGTATGTATAAATGCCCAGTGAGCACATAAGATGCTCATCATTACTCATCAAAGAAATAGAAATCAAAACCACCACACACCACTTCAAAGCAATTAGGATGGCTACAATAAAAAGACAAATGTTGGCAAAGATGTGGAAAAACTGGAATCCTCCTAAGATGATGGAGGGGATGTTAAATGGTGTAGCTGCCTTGGAAAACAGTCTGCAGTTCCTCTAAAGTTAAACAGAATTACCACCAGGACCCAGCAATGCCAATATAAAAATATGTGTCCATACAAAGACTCATACAAAATGTTCATAGCTACATTATTCGCAATAGCCAAAAAGTAGAAACACTTCAAATGTCCATTACTGATGGATAAATCAAATATGGTATTATCTACACAATGGACTATTATTCAGCAATAAAAACAAGTGAAGCAAAGACATATGCTACAACATGGATGCACCCAGAAAACAGTGTAATATGTGGAAGCCAGCCACAAAGTACCACATACTGTGTGATTCCATGTAATGGAGACATATTACTTATTTTGAAGTCAATAAAATAAAAATGCAAACAAGAGACTGACAATAACAGATGTGCACAATGCGAATGGCAGCCCATCAGCTGTAAATTTTATGCACAGCACAGCAGAACACTATATACAATGGAGCTTAAGAAACTAAGAGCTATGTTCTAATTTAATAATGAAAGCAAGGTAGCAGCACTAAGGTAAAAAAAAAAAAGCAGGTGTGACACGATCAAACCTGTGCTTTAGAATTATTGGTGATTGTATTATAGATTTCCAACTCTAAGGAAGACCAAGGGCACAGAGGTAGGAAGCCGGCAACAAAAGGTGGTGGCTATGTCTAGGGTTATGTCAGAGACAGGAGAGTTGAGAGACATTTAGGAAGTAGAATCTGGATTAGTTGGTAATTGAGTGGCTATAGGGACTGAGGAACAGGGAGGCGTAAAGAATGACCCTAAGGTGGGCAAGTCAGATGACTCCCTTCTCGGGCTGGGCAAGGCCGATAGCTTGGTCTCCAAGACTGCTAACTGGGAAGGATCATAAACAGTGACACCATCCCCCACAATAAAAAAGAATGACCCTAAGTTTTTGTTTGGCATCTGATTGGATGGTGAGATTTACTGAAAAGGGAAACAAAGGCAGATAGCAGGTTTGGAATTTCTGTTTTAGATACAGTTTGAGGGATCTGTGAAACATTCCAATGGAGATTACAGGTGGATATATTGGTCTGAAACTGAATAAATATAATCTGCAGATATATTTTGGAAGTCACCATAACTAAAACAATGGGAGTAGATAAGACTGTAGTTGAACATCACATATAAGAGGAAGTAGAAAGCCAAGGACTGCACTAGTGTATTTATTACATTTAAACATCTAAAGGTGATTACAACCAAACCCATGCTCTGGTCTTATCTCTTTCCTGCTTGAGTTTCCTGGTAATTAACAGGTAGTCAAGTTGTTACCATTCTCAGTGGATGTGCCATTTCCCAGCTATATGACCTTGAGCAAGTCACTTAAAATCTTTAAGAATATAAAAAATAAAATGAGGTAAAATAAAATGAGGATATCAATTGCACCTCACTAGGGAGACTTTAGATGATTAAATGTAAAAATACAGTAAAGCTGTATTTGGCACCACAGTAAATTCATGTTAGCTATCATTACTGGCATACACTCAAACAAGGATACTCATAACTACGTGACAATTACTGAATAAGGTCTAATAGCAAAGAACTGGAAAGGCTCATGAATTTTCTGCCTATACTCTAGGCTCCAAGGTTAAGCTGCTGATGTCTTTTCCCATCCATGTCCCTCAGGCACTCTCTCCAGGAACATTCATCTGAGGTTCTTTGAAAATGAAGTTCAAAAATACTTCAGTGCAGTGCTACATTCTTCTGTCACATGAACATTTTTACTGATGACCTGAATGAATAACTAAATTCAAACAAAAGGCAGGTGAGGTAGGCACCAATTAATTGAAGCCTCTAAAAAAAGGGAAAAAAATCACTGGAAAGAGGTACCAAGATGGGAGCACTGCATTTATTAATAGAATATCATTTCACTCTCTCTGTGTCCCAGTTAGATGGTTTGGTCATGCCACATATAAGCTGGTTACTCTGGAGATTCTTAAACTTAATCAGATATACAGAGCGTGCCAAAAAAAGCCCCCAACAGATACACATTTTAAGAAAGGAAAAAACTCTATTAAAATTATAATACTCAACAGCCGGCCAAGTGGCTCAGTTGGTTAAGAGCGCGAGCTCTGAGCAACAGGGTCGCCAGTTCGATTCCCACATGTGCCAGTGAGCTGCACCCGAGCTCAGCTACCACTGAGCTGGTGAGAACGCATGCTCTCAGCAGCAAGGTTGCCAGTTTGACACCTGTATCGGATGGTGGGCTGCACGCCCCCTGCAACTAAGATTGAATACGGCACCTTGAGCTGAGCAGCTGCAAGCTGATGACAGGTGGCCAGATGACTCAGTGTGCAACAAGGTTTCCAGTTCGACTCCTGTATGGGATGGTGGACTATGCCCCTCCACCCCCCTGCAACTAGATTGAAAGCGGTGACTGGACTTAGAAGTGAGCTTGCCCCTCCACAACTAAGATTGAAGGACAACAACTTGAATTAGAGCTGATGGGTCCTGGAAAAACACAATGTTCCCTTCCCCAATTCCTGAACACTGCTCCCTCCCCAATTCCCCCCCACTCCCCCCAAAAATTAAAAAAAACAAAACAACAAAACTTGGGCTTTTCAAAAACATCAAGAAAACGAAGAGACAAAACATTGTCCAGAAGAAAATCTGAATACATTTATTTTACAAAACATTATGCATCCAGAATATATAAATTCCTATAACTCAATAATAAAAAGACAATCCCATTAAAAAAATAAGCTGAAGACCTGAATAGCCACTTTACAAAACAAGATACGAGGTGTGATCAAACAATATGGTGAATGTTTAAATTAAAAAAAAAATACGGAGGGCCGGCCGAGTGGCTCAGTTGGTTAAGAGCTCGCTCAAGAGTTTGAGCTCTGAGCAACAGCGGTTTGAGTCCAGCCCAAGCTGAGCAGCCGCTGAGCTGCCAACAGGTAGCAGGATGGCTCAGCTAAAAATAAAAAAAAAAAAAAAATACGGTGAATGTTTAAATTAAAAAGAATTATTGGGCCAGCCAAGTGGTGCGTTGGTTAAGAGTTGGCTTGGGGGCCAGCTGAGTGGTGCATTGGTTAAGAGCTGGCTTGGGACGCCAGAGGGCCCCAGTTCAGATCCCACATATGAGGGCCAGTGACACTACCCTCTACAGCTAAGACGCTGATCAACAGCTCAACCTGAAGCTGGGCAGCCGTGAATCACCGGCGACAGCATGGGCTGCTGTGAGTGGCTGGCAGCTGGCGTGAACGGCTGGCAGCCGGTGAGAGCTGCTGTGAGCTGCCTTGAGCGGCTGGCAGATGGCCAGCAGCCGACTGCCTCAGCTGGGTAAAGTGCAATGCTCATAATACCAACATGGGCCAGTGAGCTGCCTCCTCCACAACTAGACTGAGAACAACGGCTTGGCTCGGGGGTGCGGCAGCACAGAATTACCTGTGTATATTCATTAACACAACTCTGGCAGCAGAAACGCTTTTGCTGACCATGAACCACCAGGACACTATTCCCAGCACCTTTGCTGGGCAGGTACTCTCCACACTGTTCACAGCAATTCATTATCAGACCATTGGCCATTCTGTATCTATTAAAACAGTGGTTACTGCACAGCTTATGAATTACATTATTAACGCTGACTTCATGGCGAATCTAAAAGAAAAAGCAGAATTTATTAAATGAGCCAAGTTAGCACAGTAAGCAATGAAATAACTAGTTTCTTCAACAGAAAAAAACTCTAGTAATTTCTCAGTGGAAGAAATATTCAAGGAAAAGACTAAAAAGCCCATTTGGTTATTCTTTTATTTTTATCTTTGGCTTCTTGGTAAAATCATTTTTTGATTTTACAAAAGAGGAAAAATAAGATTCATAGAACAAAAAGCAATAAAATCAGTAATAACTTCCCCAGAGACACTTAAGTCCAGAAAATGAACTGGTTTAGAAGATTTTGCTATGACCGCCATAAGAGAAATAATAGATGGGGAGTTCTTCGCGTTGTCAATTTCACCTTCCTAGAAAATCGTGGGAAGGGCCAAAGGGATCAGTACCACCCATAGTCCGGATGGCATCTATATACACATGCTTTGCTCAGCTTCATGGTAACTGAGATAAAAGCATGTTCTGGCTTTCCCTGGCTCAGGACAACCAACCCCAAATGCAGTTACCAATGACTGGGCCAAGAGAGGCCCACGTGCATGCTCGCTTCTTCTTTCAGCAGAGCTGTAAAGACAGTGGCACAATAAGAAATGTGAAGTTTTCAACATACTTATACTGCACACGTCCCACATGGTCTCATACCAGGATTGGCTGCTTCCCTTCATGTCCTGAACTTACACTTATATTTAGTGTGGCTAGTGAGAACGAAACCCACCATACAACTATCGCTGTGTAGGAATACAGCCACTCCATAGAAACAATGTGTACTCTCCATACTATGCAAATGGGACATTTGCTTATAAGATAGTTCCCCTTAACTTCACTGTGTAGATTCAGGGTGTGCATTATGTAGATGGCAGAGTCCAGGGCAGCAGTTAAAGCCATCCCTGTTAACCTAGATAAGAACTTAAACAAGATATAAAAATCCAGACCTCTGTCAGTTTACTGCAGATGGTACATCTTGACTTGTTCAGAACTCTCCTTCTGGGATTCTGGCTGTCCTCGTAGGGGGGTACACAGGTCATGCTACCGAGTTCTTGAAAGGACTCACTTGAGACCACTGGAGGAACGACAGAAGCCTTTTTTGTAGGTGCATCTCTGAAACACAGAGATAAACAATTTAAGGACACTGCATTTTAATAAAAGTCAAATATATGAACAATAATGGACAGTTTTCCTTTTCTCATAATACTAGGAATCAACCATAATTTCTGGATCTACAAAAATCCACTTTTTGGTTTCAGTGCCAAGAGTCTTAAATTATACTGCAAGAGACGATCTGGAGGTAAAATTATTTGTGACACAAGAACCTTGCCACAGGTTATGATTTCTAGAAGCATTCAAAAAGGGTGGTAGCAACTTGGCAGAACTAAGGCAGAAGATGGAGCTGGGGGTGAGGCTGGCAGAGGCAGGAGAGGGCCAATGTATCCCCACAGCCACACCCCACTTTCCTGCCAAGAGCAGGAACAGTACAAATGAGCTTACAGCTCTGACAAGCTCCATGATAACTTAAGCTCAATCTCAATCAACCTGAAGATGCCCTGCAACAATCCTCCCCATGAAAGCATGCTGCTCTCCAATCACATCCAGAAGGCACATTTACACTGCCACTCCTGACCAGACGGAGCCATGCTGAAAAGTACAGCTTACTTTTTACATAGTATTCTGCATTTCTTTGGAGTACACTTGTGAGAGAAGGAGGAAAGGCAGCTGGTAGAACAAAAGAGGTGAGATGATCCTTTTCGTTGATAAGCTGTCTGTCCCTTCTGTAAAGGTTTTTTGCAGTCTGCACAAGTGATTTTAACTGGTTTAGTGGGTTGCTGCTGGCAAATCTGTTTAGGAAGCGAAGGCACTGGTGATAAAGAATCCACCCCTGGCTGTTTCTGATTACGGGGAAATGATGCTGACTGGGAGATCCAAGAATCTTAAAAGTAAAACACAAGAAAAAGTCATGAACAATTCAAAAGTCACATCAGAAAAATATTTTAAATTTTCATTTTGCACAAATTTAAGAGAATAGTGAGGCAGCCCTATAACACGTAGTTAAGGCCAGGCAGCCTTTCTGCACAATCCCAGGGGAACTATCCACTTAGTATTCTAAGTGAATGAACACTCTATTGTGCCAACAATGTAAATGGTGGCCCTGGGATTGTGCAATGCAATAGCCACCATCTCTTAAGTCATACTCTGTTGCCTTACAGCCTCATCCTCGACTGCCCACCCACACCAGCCCCTGACCTAACAAGATCATGAGGGAGTGTCTTGATAAACTGAGACCCGGTGAAATGATATCGGTAAAGCTTCCTCAAGGGAGTGTCCTGGAAAACTGGGAACCTGCGGAATGATGTCGGTTATCTCCCTTAGTTCATGGCCGCAGCTGCAGCTGCACCATCCTGGGGGTTGTGTGTATAGGAGTACAAAGGCACAACATGTGTTGGAGTACAAGGGGTCTGGTTGATGGAAACTGGCCTTAAGGCACTTATCACAGACTTTAAAAGAAATAAAAAGTTTTAATCCTTTAAAGTTTCTTAATAAAAGCTTCACGTTGGCTTGATTAGGCGCTCAGTTCCAGAGAGAAAACTACAGCCCCCTGGCCTCATGTCATAAATCTATCTTTGTCTCTTGTATTTTCTTTCACCCTGCGCCATCCCCTCTCACTCATCACTGCCTGTGCTGCGCGGGACACGACAACACTCTCCAGGTTCAAAAGGCATGTTCTGAGCTGATTGTGCAAGTATATAGCATTAACCTATCTTGGTTTCCTCAGCTACAAGCTGGCAATGATACCTAACTCATGAAAGTTTTAAGGTAAAGTATTATGTTTGGTACTAGGGCACTTGCAAAAAACATTAGCCACTTTTTCTTCTCTAAGAATAAGATATTAGGGGCCGGCCGAGTGGCGTGATGGTTAAGAACTCGCTTGGGATGCCAGAGGGCCCCGGTTCAGATCCCACATATGAGGGCCAGTGACACTGCCCTCTACAGCTAAGATCCTAAACAACAGCTCTTCCTGGAGCTGGGCTGCTGTGAGTCGCTGGCGACGGCTAGGCTGCAGCCCCTGTGGCAGTGGGTTGCCATGGGTACCGTATGTAGCCAGCAGCCAGCGTGAGCGGTCAGCAGCCGTCATGAGCTGCTGTCCAGAAGCTGGCGACTGATCTGCCTCACCTGGGAAGAGCGCAATGATGGTGCCA